GCGGGGGGGGGGGGAATCACTCTTCCATTTTCTAGTCCTGAGCTACAGCTATAATATCCATTCCTAAAGGATTGCATTGCTGGATTGCTCATTTCTGTTCCCAAAAACTCTTTTAATTATGCCAACTTCAAGAAGTTAGAACGATTTCTAAGTATCTTGATTAATACTAGTATTGCTTTTTAAATATAATGACAGTATATGTTAACTAGTTGAGATCTCATCTGCAAGTGACTATAAGGCCAAACTAAATTCTAGTTAATATAAACAGTAACCTCAATTTTAATTTTTCCAACTTGCAACACATCCTATTAAATACTTTTGTATCTTCTTGTAAGTATTAAACTAAAACCACAAGTCATCCAAATATCACCAAGAATTTTTTTTTTTAAACCCATTAATGTGAACATCAGGAACAGCGAGTATATGAAATTACAAGACTGGAGTTGACAGAAGTATGCACATGCTTGAAATTTCTTTAACAAAAAGAGAAAAATCTGATGGGGGATAAAATTTACTTCTTCTCCTTGTACCCGATGGCCAACCACCCCAGTAAAACTTCAAGATTCTACTTTAATGGGAACAAGAAGTTAGCTGCATCACTAAATCGCCTCATTACAACTGCCTTTTTACAAATAAATCGATTATGAAAACTTAGAGATTTCATACCTCATTACTAGTTAGGAAGTTATAGAGAGTCCAAATATCTTCAAAATTGCTGTTTGGAGTCAAGATTCTGAAAAGAAAAAAAAAAGTTTTGTTTTGTGTTGTCTTGTTTTTAAAAGGATATTTTCTAGAACAGTGAAGTCTGTAATATAATTTTAAAAAATTGGTAAGACATGAAAAAGACTGTATATTAAAAATTTTATTTAGTTCTTTAAAAAGAAGAAAGGTAAGAAAAGGAAATTCTTATCTTTAATCTCCCCCAATCTTTAATCCTCACCCACCCATATAGATGCATGCAAACCAAAATAAATGAAATAAGATTATTCTACAAAATGAGAAGTGAAGGTTTTTCTTAATTAAAAATTAACGCAGTTTTGACATAAGCCATTCCAATATATGAACAGTAAAAAAAATAAGAACTTGTTAACAAGTCTTTCATTTGCTACTAGCAGATTCTCTTATTTTAACTTGAATAGAGAACTGACAAAACATGTGAAACTTTCTAACAGTAACAAATAGAAGAACTAGATGTAGTTTTAACCAATACTACGTATAGCTTGAACTTCTGCATAGGTGATGTACTGCTACCTCCCCATCAATAGAATGGACTGGGTGAGGCAGGGTTTGAGCTGCTGAAAAGGTGTGTGAAGAATCAGACTGACCTCTAAAGTATTTGTGTCTTTTATCCATTCATAAAACTCATATAAAACACTGTGAGAAGTATTTTCAATCCCTCCTACTGCTCTTTCAGTAGAAACTATGCATGTACAAGCATTTACTCGCTATCTCCTAGGGGAGGAAACACGCCCCTTCTGGGAAAATGATCTTTCCAACCTGGAAAAATCTCCTTTACAAAAAAGAATCTCTTGCAAAAGCAAATGCTTGCACATTCTCTTCCTGGTCTGGTCAAGGAGGGGACTGAAGCAGCAGGGCAAAACCTCCTGCCTTCTCCTGAATCCAGGCTTCCTATCTGAGGAGCAGGCAAGGGGTTTTGCTGCACTGCTCCCTCCACTCGGCTCCCAGCCATCAGGAACTGAGCAGAGAAGAAGTCACTCCTTGCTCCCAACCCACTCCCAGCCCAGGCAGGGCTCTCCTATATCAAGTGTCCCTAGTCTGAAAGAGGGGGTAGGGAAAGAGAGGGAGGGCTTTCTCTTGATGCTTCCCTCTGTTCCTGGACTGGTCTAGACAGGGAAAGCAGCAGCTGGCACCACCTCCTGTCCCCTCCCCAAATCAGGCAATGCCCAGCCTGAGGAATAGGCTGGAGATTTTGCCCTGCTCTTCCCTCCTCTCTGCTGCTGGCGAGCAGAAGCAGAAGGAAGCGGGCTGCTCCCCATCCATCCCCCAGACCTCAGTTTGGGGAAAGTGTGCAGAGTCTTTCCCTGCTGCTCCACTCCCTTGAGGACTGAGAGGAATGGAGTAGCCACTGTTTCCCTTGCACCCCAGTCTGGGGAAGACACGAAGAACAGGGGAGAAGGGGCAGCTGCAGGCTGAATAATGTATACTTCCTCTCCCAGAAAGAGTTCTACAGGTAGAAAGTTTTGAAAAACCTCCACCTGTCGACATGCACACCTGTTTGTGGCTGTATTCACTCCATACTTATTACATCTTTTTCATTTTTTGAGACATCAACAAAAGATAATCATTTCTAAGTGTCAGAGTATTTCTTGGTTGGGATTAAAATACATTTCTCAGGGGCAGGGGGGCATGAAAATCAGATCGTATTACTGGATAAACAGGCCACTATCATTAGTAATCCCAATGTAGACCTCTACAGCAAAATTACTGTAAAAGCTCCTAAGCTCTTGGCATCTCTGACTGTATCACAGTTAAGGCTGACATTGATTGGCTGTGAGTGGTCATCAAGCCAAAATGCTGATTCAGCTGACAATCCTTCTCAGGTAACGTTAGGATGTCAGTTTAATGACCAAGTCATTATCTACAACACAAATAAATTACCATACCAAAATCTGGGGAATGTGGTTTCCATAGCTGACATTTTTTTTTTTTTTATAGCTCACTACACTAAATTATCCATGTGTTCAAATATGGAAAACAACAAAATAAATTTGCATTTTTTAATTATCTGCATTCAAGGTCAATACTTTCTGCCCTAGACAGTAGCAAGGTACAATACGCATACACAAAGAATCTGGCAAATGTAGCAGGCAGGCAGACAGATCATGGGTGCCTGAGGGGCAGATGCAAAGTATAAACTGTTGAGGGGAACACCAGGCTGGGAAATTTGTGGGGGTTTTGGCATGGCAGCTCTGGGCTATGCCATTCTGGGAGGCAATGTATTCTATATCCCTCAGTAACCATTATGCTCTGCTGTGGCTCAGTAAGAGATGCAATGACTTTGGGTGGAAGTGAGCCCACCATACAGCTCAATACCTGCCATGCATTCTGGGTTACAGGAATCAACGTATGAATGCTAGATAAGATGAGACACACAGGAGGTATGCCTTTTCATTCATTTTTCAATTTTTTATAACCATTCAGGGCTTGAATTAAATCTCAGACAAAGGGTTGTTTTGGTAAACTTTGACAAAAGTGAGTTCAGCCACAACGGTATTGTGCAATATTGAAAGAACTACACAACCACTATAATTAGTGCAAAAAGCTGCAATTAGAAACTTCAAACATTGGCCTAAAGGCTCTCTCAGATTTTAACAATCCAAGTTTAAGAAAAATCAGTTCAGTACTTTAACATTTTGAGAAGACTTTCTTCAAACACGTGATTATCAATTAGAAGAATTTGAATGAAAGGGAATTCCAAAATTGGACAGTTTTTAGGGGACCTTCTCCCATTTGAATTCTCCTGCTGATGGATATAAAGTAGACGGGACCCGTGTATATCAGTCCATATTCCCAACCTTTAAAAGCAAAAAGATTAAAATAGATTGGCCTTCCTCTAAAAAGGAAATAATGAGACAATTAGCAAAGCAGCATTGGACACAACAGTTTTCTCAGATTTTTACATACTGTGCACTTGTTCTAGCCCTGGGGTGCCCAACCTGCAGCACAGGTGCCACAAACGGCACCGGCAACCTGTGTGTGTGGTGCATGGCAGACTGGGGAGGGGACTTCCAGAAGTCACTTAATCACATCAATAGATTTTGGCCTTTGCTACAGTAGCATAATAAGTAGACTTGTAGAATGGGGTGGTTGGGGGG